TACTACAACATTATACATCCTGAATGGTTCAATTTTTTCACTATTTATTAAATACATTCATGACTGACAATAATTACTCAACCGCATAGATTTATAGAGATACATATAGATCAAACCCGATCGACTGATCTGAACTAAAGATTGAACTATATTTTGTTTTCAGACTAAGCCTATTAACATCTTGTATCTTACAAATAATTCCACATAAGTTTTTGTTTAATTAGTGGTCTTACTCTGTTACACATGAGACACTTATCTTCGTGAGTCATGACCCACTTCATTAGTCAATTCCAACTCCTTCTGACTGCATGGTCGAATAATTTCGTATTGCATAATAAAATTTTTTTTTTAAAAAAACGAATGTGTATGTGGAAAACCAAAGTAACATATAAACGAAAAAGCACTTTAAAAGGACACGATTTATTTGGATTATAGTTATACATAAATTAACCACTAAACGAGGAAGCTTCACATACTCGTACCCGTAGTTGACTCGGAAACCATGGACTTGAGAAACGATTTAATCTTATAATATGAATTAAAAAGGCTATGTATTCAATTATTCATAATAATTTTCGGACGTGAAACAAACATCATAATGGTTTTATCCGAACCACATGACATAATGATTCTATCGAACCTATTCACACAATCTTTTCATTCTCTCAAGCAAAGTTACAGTAAAAATCAGTGAAAAAGACGACAATTCTAAAACAGTTACAGAATCTCGAGATGATAAATAAAGCAAACAGAGAATCTCGAGAGATAAAACATACAAAACAAAAAACCGTATATAATACCTACTAATTTACTAAATCAATTCATGTGAACACTAATGTGAACAGTACGTAAGTCTAAAACATTAAAATTTACGAAAAAAACAAAAATAAGCTCAGAGACTAATTAAAAAGAAAAAGAAAACAGTCATCACTTTGAATGAAAGAAGAGTGGACACAACAGTCTCCAGTGATACACTCGTACGCATCCACCAACTGTATTTAAACTCTCTCTCATCTTCTCATCTTCTTCTTCGATTT